GAGAAGGAGAAAAGTAGGACAATAAGTAGCCTCTGAACATAACCTGAGATAACTTCCATGCACTGTGGTGGCTCAGGTGTGAGATCCTGATGGAAAGCTCTCATTTGAGTTGTCTCACTGATCTGTTTCCAAGATGCGCGATGATGAAGAACTTAATTCTTGATGGTTTCAAGGCATTAGCCAGTGTAACTTCAAATACAGGTATTTTGATGTGAAGAACCTTTTTAACTAATGGCTTTCTCTTTTTCTTAAGTATATGCTTATGTGAAGCTACTCAAAGGTATTGGGTGTGGAGAAGACACAGAGTGAGATGTGGGGGAATTGGAGGGGTGATAGATGTGCTGTGCAGTGCAGCCTCGTGCCTTGCCAAACAGCTATTGCTGCTGGGTGTCTAGACATGCAAAACTGGCCAGGCAGAGTTCTCATTTTGCTGTGAATAAAACTGGGATGCACTAGATTTAACCCATGCTTAGGATCTGGCTCTTGTATTAACACCAAGTTATGATATTTTTTTAAAGAAAAAGCTTTAGCTGCATGTTGTGCTATTCTTGCTGTTCTGCAGCATCTTTGTAGGATTTCTCTGTACCTTTTCTGTTGAGTCCCTTGCCCGACATATAAAATAACCATGTACCATTTGGTCCAGTTCAGTCCCAGCTGATCACCAGTGGTACGTTCACTTGCGTCTTTCTAACGAGTTCTGGTGCGTGAGTTTGAAGTGAGTCATCGGAAGGCCCTTCGGAAGTGCCATCTTGTTAAATCCGTGGCAGCCTTTTTTGTGTAGACTGAAACAAAGCTTAGGCTCTAAGATGAGAAATAATAAATTCCTGTCTTCAGGGATATAGCAAGAGGTTGGCCCACCAAACCAACCCCCAACAGGAAACTACCATTTTTCCTCTTAGATCATAATTTTTATCCCGCTCTCCAAAAATGCAAGAGCAATGTATCATGCTGTGATCTGGGGAGACTTCTAAGACCAAAATGGAAGGTGAACTCAAAACCCTCCCACAGAAACTGTCTTTAATTGTTTTCCGTTTCCACAATGCTTAGTATGATAAAACGATCTTCTCTTTCTCCTTTATTTTTCAATCATGATTAGACTTTAATGTTGTTAAAGCTTATAAGTGAGTTTGAGCTCCTGTCTCGGTGAAGAGAAGATGGAGCTGAAATTGTTGGTGAGGCATTGGACAGGGTTTTTTAATGTGTCTGTCATTATATGTTAACCTCTGAACTGGGACACGACGTCTGTTTTATGGCTGACAACAATTTAAGGGTATACATCTTGACATCGTGGGTAAAGAAGGGGGAGTGGAGAAAAAAAATGAATTAATGATGTTAGCAAATATTAGTCCTCGTATTTCCTTTTTGTTCAGAAAGTGGTTGTCAGGCTCTGAGGCCGTCTGGAGCAGCATTGTCGGTGACAGCCAGCTGAGATGCGATTGTACCTTGAATTGAGCCAGTCTTTTATTGACAAATACAGTGCAATGAGGCAGGGATGAGGATGCTCTGCTGTCTGTTCCAGGAGGACTGCGGCTTTTCTGCTGGCATTCTTGGTGACATTTGAGAAGGATAGTTCTGGGCTTAGTGGAGTTCCCTGCGCCAGTCTGTGAGCACACCGGGAGTTGGGGGAGTTGAAACTGTCTCTTAATGAGTACGTATGCTGCATACTGAAGCACGTATTTGCCCATGATTTATGCTAGCTTTGGTCAACCACATCCACCCACCAGAGTTAACTGTCAAGAGTCATAGTGACTTTGGTATCAGCCTTGATTGTATGCGAGCAACAAAGAATCAATGAGCAAGAGTTAGGGGAAAACATGAGAAATTCCAGTGCCTCTTAAGGCATCTCTTACACTCCTTTATCACCTCTTCCCGGATCTCTTACGTGCCACTGCCTGTGCTTTGGCACTTGAGTGTTGTCCTCTAAGGTTTCTTCCCGTGCTGTCACAAATTCCCCTTTATTCCCACAGTTTTTAACTGGTGGTTTGAAGGTGACCCCCTCACGCTCGTGGAGCCTGCAGGAATTTTGCCGTTTCTACAGCATCTCTCTTCGATGGTCCTGACTGCAGATAATACTGCTGTCATCTCTCTTGGATTCGGGTTGCAAATTATGGGAGCCTGGGATCATGTTATTTCTTAACTATCATTAGTTACATGTGTATCTGCGGTGCTTTTGGACAGTGCTGCCAGCAGTGAAAGAAATTGAGCTGGCTTAATTGAGAGCCATGTAGTTAATTATTAGTGCTTTTTTTTAAAGGAGGAGAGAGAAAATTTGCAGTGTCAGTTTTTAATTTCATTGTGGTTTGCAAGCTAATGTGACTCACTAGTCATTATCTGTGCATATGTGACATTTCCTTTATCTTTCCAGCCCTAAAAGCCCTTTTCTGCTGTAGAAATGTCAAGAGACTTAAGAAAGAAAGTGCCTCAGTGCATTACTGATCCCTTCAGCCAGTATGAGTGATAAATAAAAATACTGGTTCCTGATAGTGCAGTAGTTGTGACGTGGTTTGGAAGGAGCAATGGCTTTGTCCCACCTCTTTCGTTACCTGGTTTGGCCCGTCCTGCTCGGATACTGCGTGCGAGTCCCTGGCAGGCTGGGTAGTACAGATATTGGAAGCGGGCAGATGAGCTCATGGTATAGGCAAGTTGTCAAGGGCAGCTGGAAAGAAACCAGTTGGTATGTGCATTGAGGCAGAAGTAATAGTTTTGGGATGAAGCAAGTGTTCCTCAGAGCCTGGACAGATTCCCCTTGGGAAGGCCAGTGGTGATGAACGGTGGAGTTGTGATGCTGTCTTTCGTGGCTTTGCAGAGTAGAGGCACACATGAAATCCTGAGAGGGTAGCCGAGGCTTTCCTGGACATTTTTCATAAGCTTGTTCTACATATTGAGGACTGTGATGGAATAAGCTTGGTTCAACATTCATAAATTGAGTATTGAGTTACCTATTTCTGTGTGAAAGAGGTGAGATAAAAAGCTACTTGGACAAAGTAACCTGTATATGGATTAAGAGCCAGAGAAGTTTTTGATGGAGCATTTTTGGGAAAGCCTTTATCGCTAGGTTTCCGATGACCTTATGTGTACTCAGTCAACATGATTATATTGTGGTAGAAATGCATTCGTTGTGCAAAGAAGGCGAACTTAATCCAGGAAACCTTTGTTACAACTTCTGCCTGTAGAAAGATGAAATGTATTTTCTCCAGTGTTGTTTCTGACTTTGAAAAAAAGCAACCACCAAAAACTGTAGTGGGAAAAGATGAAAGAATATAGATTAAGTTTTTGACGGAGCATTTTTGGGAAAGCCTTTATTGCTAGGTTTCCCGATGACCTTATGTGTACTCAGTCAACGTGATTATTCTGTGGTAGAAATGCATTGGTTGTGCAAAGAAGGCGAACTTAATCCAGGAAACCTTTGTTACAACTTCTGCCTGTAGAAAGATGAAATGTATTTTCTCCAGTGTTGTTTCTGACTTTGAAAAAAAGCAACCACCAAAAACTGTAGTGGGAAAAGATGAAAGAATATAGATTAAAAATTTTTTGTAGTTTCTGATACTGGTTGAATGACTACTGCCCCTCAATATCAAAAAAGAGACTAGTTGTGAGTATAGCTTCATTTTATAGAAATAGCTCTTGCATGTAGCAGATAATCTGAAATTAATTTTCTTTATAAGTGGTGTGGAAATAATTGATGGACAGTAAGGTTCTCTGCTAAATAACTTTTTAAGAGGGGCATTGCACTGTGAAGACTCTGAAGCCTTTTCCCTTCAGGAAAGGAGAACTTTGGGTCATCTTTTACTTGAATTTAGAGAAAGCCTACTTGCCGTAGAATAGTTTTCAAAGCCAATTTTATTTCCATTTTTTTTTCTTTTAAAGAAGTATGTCTGTGATATCTGCAAACCCAAATATTACGGCTTTGGGCTGGTACAGGAGAGAAGAAAGGTGGAACTGGGCAGAATGTAAAAGTAAATATATTATGGGAAAACAGTAAATTGATTTAAAACAAAAGCAACCTAGGGAGTAGGAAGAAAGACAAATGTAAGCATGTTTTATTAAAAAAAATATACCTTTCTAGGTAGAATTCTGATAAGGCAGCAACACTTTGGGGGTAATGGGCAATGTACTGCAGCTACTGAGAGACTGCTAGAGGTTGAGATGGCTTTCCCTTTGCTTCTGATTTTATTCACCCTGGAAAGCCACAGGACTGTCCACTGCCAATAGCACATTGCAGTTCGTGGGCTGGGTTTATAAGGAATTTGTAAGGAATTACTGCTGCAAATTCCAAACCAGTTTTGGCTGCTTACCTGAAGACTACTAGATGCCCTGGAAGAGCTGGGGTTTCTGGTGCCCTGCACCCCCAACAGGGTCAGGCTTTCAGACAGCCGGCACTTAGCCCTTTCTGAAAGTCTGGCATTGATGTAAAGTCAGGCAATTGAAGATCCTGAGCTGCAGGATGTTTTTTTCAAAAGGTAGGCCTGAGGCTCTGTATCGATCAATCATTATTCTAATTGTTCATTTCTATTATGGTGGGAATCATTCAGAATCCTAGAGTTCCTGGGAGTAAATCATTTGGAAATGCTGCCCATTATAAAATTTAATTTTAAATCTATATTAAATAGATTTATAAAGGCAAGCTTTGCAATCTAGTAACATAACATTATGCTGCCTCACAGAGGCTCAGCTTTTGGGTCCTAAGGGGCCATGGCTGGGAGTGCTGCGGAGGCAACGCTTTGGCTCGCGAGCAGGACAGCCAGGCTGCTCAGACTACCTTTCGGGTCACCCTTCTGGGCCACGTTCAGAGGAGCATTGATCCAGTTTGCTGAGAAGTCCATCTAGCTGTTCTGGATGGAGTCGGGTCGCGGGTCGTCGTCTGCCATGGAGATGAGGCTTCCAGACGGCTGATCCCATCGCTGGGGCAGGGGAAGGGCTGGGAGGTGGCGAAGGGGTGGCACAGGATGGAATTAGGATGGGGAGCCAGGATGCTGGACCAATCTTTCTCTTTCTTTCAGACGACAGAGAAGAGAGGAAAGGAAAGCAAAACTTCATTTGGAGGCCCAGTTGTCAGCTCATTATATCAAGAAGAAACAATCAGGTGATTATCTGCACTGAACTTCAGTTGAAACCAGTATTTTCCTAATGTCATTTTGTTAAGCTTTTTTTTTAATATTGCACAAGTGTGGTGGCAACTACAACAGGATAATAAATGACAGGAAAGAACTTTTCAGGTCCATAATCATTTAAATCAATAACTGCCTGTATCATTGCCAGGTAGTAACCTTTCCCTAGTGCAAGATGTGGGGGAAGGGCAAAGCTTCCCATTTTTCAGTTATATGGCTAAAAAAGATAATATTGGGTATTTTTAATAGAAAACTACTCAGACACTACCTTTTTCAAATAGTTATTTCTTTACCAATACATTCATTAAGGATTGTTCAGTGAAGGTTTTAGTGTTGGACAATGTTTGTCTTCAGGGAGAGTTTGTACCTTATATCAAATTAATTTTTTCTAGCTTCTGTAGCTAGCATAGCAGAAATGCATGCTGCACTAGAATGGCTGCTATTTAAAAACTGTCAAGGTGCAAGTAGTAAGTGACACTAGTTACTGAATAAGGACAGCTGAGTTTTTTTGTTTGGTTGGTTTTTTACTGTTCCAGACTACTAATCATGGATATAATATTAACTCCAATACCTGAATGATTGCCTGGAGGATCTTTCAGAATACAGCATCATATTTTTAGTTAAAATGAACAGTCGGGGAAGACTCAATTTTTGAGCAGTGTTTGCTGTCATGTTGCAGTCACCCATTTATGCATATGTGATCCCATTTGTTTTATTGAATGTCTTGCATCATTTTAGTCCCAGGAAATTAAAAAATAAACACTGATTTCTCTACACACAGCCTCCCAGGCTTGCTGGGAATTTCCTGGTGTGTTAAAACTCTAACACAGCATTTCTTTGACTGGTTGTCACAAACTAATGAAAAATAAATTTTGAGTGGGTGGCTTCAAACTTTTTGCAAGGAGTTCAGGTAGGAATTGATACGGCTGTTCTGTGTAAGCAAACAAGGTGACAGTTTTGTGCTTGGCAGTAGTGCGGATACATCCCTCAGTGTTGCAATCCACTTTAGAGCGAGATGGAGCAGTTGGCCAGGAGTAGCCTTCTCTGTCTTGCATGGAGAGCCAGCACATCCTTAACTTGACCCTGGACCTTGACCAGAGGTGGTCAGGTATGACCTTGGTTTAACACACTGAGAAATAGCACTTCTGCTAGCCGCAAGCTCCTTTTTCTTCCCTGCTCTGTCAGTGGAGGACTCAGCTAACATCCTTGATCTCATAGTTTGACCTTGTGGTTTAAATCCTGTTTGAGCTGTTCTTTCAGGAGCGGAACATATCAGTGCTGCCCCGTGTTGGGTGCTGAGTGTGAGCTATGCTTAGTCTTACAGTGCTTTTGGAGTCTTGGCTGTCCCAAGTACTGTCTGTGCCCTTCCTTGGATGTAAAATACAGCACAATATACAGGAAAACAGAGCTTGCCCTGGTTGCCTTCACTAGTCTAAATCAACTTGTCATATCTTTTTATTTCCATGAGAACATGCCTTGTATAGGACTGGAAGATCTGTACAGCTCTGAATAAATTTTTTTCCAAAAATACCAGGAAGAAGGTACATGTTGTATCTTTAGTATAGCACAGCTGTCACACTTAAAAATGGGGCTGCAGGCAGATGTAGTCTCTGCCACAGCTGGAATATGATGATTCTGCTGAAAGTAAGTTAAATGAAGTCTCCTGACTGTGCTGGCAGAATGGAATCTCACATGGTCCATTAGGACAGCTTGGCTCACAGGCATCAGTGTCTTCAGCTGCAAGATGGGAAGTGAGCAAGTGTCACATCTCACCTAGCTTCAGCTTTCTTGGTGCAGTTGCCCCTGTGTTATGGCTTTTGTCTACTGTTCATTCACTTACTAGAACAGGGAATAAATGTGTGCCAGTATAGGCACATCTCTAATGGTAACAATTATAATAGTAAAAGCATAGTCTTAAGCAGCAAAATTGCAGTGGTAGGAAATTTGCAAGCAGATGAACCAAAAAAAAGGATGGCTCTGGACATTCGATTTGGCATCCAAGTTCATCTAGAGCATGGAGTGAATGGGTTTGATAGTAACACTCACCTGAGAAGAGTGACTTTTCTGAGGCTGAGTTGTTACTGAATGCTATCCTTATGTTCTTGTAGGTAATACTTCAGTGCATTTGTAAATGGAATGTAGCCTTCAAAAAGATAAGGCATGTTCTGTAGAGGAAAAAAAAAGAAAACTTTTAAGGGGAAAAAACTCTTACTAGCTTGAGCCACCATAAACTTAAACACATGAATAGCTATGGGTAATTCTGATGCTGGAAGTTTGACGTGTATGCTACCTCAAAACCTAAGATCTGAGACAAACTTTGATGCAGACCATTTTCTTGACTTGATTGTCTATGGTAGGCCTTACTGAAGCTTTACATCAAGCTTGCAAAATTTGGAATATGAATCAAACCACTTTAGTCTCTGTTTCCTGAGGCTGTTGATAGGATAAATATTTTCTAGTTACAGTATCATGTTAAGGAAGCCCAGAATAAACAAAAATCTTTTGTTTGCTAAAAAAAAAAACACTTGAGTCCTCATCAACCCTGGGTTCTGACAGCGATTTCTCAGCAGGCATTACTCTGCCAAACACAGCCCACCATCTGCCCTTTAGGGTTCAGCTGATGCAGAGGCAGGAAAAGGCTGTCCAATTTCTCTGGAGCCCGGCATCTTCACAACCTCACCTTGCACCAGGAGATAGACCTGGTGGCAAGGCCTGAGTTTTGAAGATTCCCCTAGGCAGGTTCACTTATTTTATTCAGCAGCTTTTGAACAGTTTAAACACATTATTAACCCTCCTCCAAGCTGCTGCTATGTAATAGGAGGATGAGAGATCTTGTTTTAAATAGCATAAACCAGTAGTCTACCACCAGCAGTAAATTACCAAGCAGAGCAGCAATGCCCTTGCTTTCAAACCAAGTGTCTAAAATTATGCATCAATAATGCTTATGTTCCTTTTGTGTCATGAAGTGCTTGGGTTTTAGGGTGCAAATCTGTAAACGCTGGACAAAGTGGAGTTACCATGCCCTACTCTAAAGTCAGGTGGACAAGAAATAGGAGGAACTGGGATGGTGCCAGGGCTGATTTTGCCTTATCACTAATTATCTGAAATGTTTCTGCTTTGAGAACAAGATAGAAAAATGGTCAGTCTGGCTCACAGAAGTACATTGCACTGATTCCAAATAAATTCAAGAGCATCCGTAGAAACAGGTTATACTGATCTAATTAAATCAATTTAGAAAGAGATTCAGTTAAATCAGTGCAATTTGTGTGTTCATAGATCAATCCTCAAATCAGGAGAAGGTCTCTTGAGCTAATGAGGCATAGCAGTTATTTACTTTGGGGTGCTGGGCACTGGTCATCAATTAGGAGTCATTAATAAACCCTGGCAATAAAGAGCTCAAGTACCCCCAGTGACTAATGGGGAGCAGTTGCAGAATGTATTAGCATAGTGCTCTGCCTCTGGATTTCTCTGCAAATGACTTATCTCACTTTGGGCATTACATAAAAATAATGCCGGCTGGTGACTGATGATGGGACTCGGAGGTTCCCCTGGAAGGAAGGATTAAGAAATTATCTGTGATTTCAGGCTGCAAATAGTGGTGGGGTTTTTTTACTGCTCCATAAAGCTTTATGTGTGTTTTCTGGTCTTATTACCAGAACAAAAGCAGTAGTAGTTGAGCTCTTTCATGATCAAATAGCTATAATTACAGTTTCACAAACCTGGGAAATGAGCAGTGAGATGAAGTGGATTCATGTGTCACCAGTATAAATCTAATCTGAGACACAAACTGAGGGAGATGCCAAAAATACTATGCCATTGGAAATTCGGCTTTGAAGTTATTTTTAAATATCTTTTTTTAAGGCAGGGAGGAGGGGGAGGCAGTTTATAAGTGTTTCCAGCAAAATAAAGCATTGAGTTGGCAGATGGAGAATACAAAATAACGTTGCCAAATGTCCATGTCCCTTTCCACTTCCACCGGAGGAGCCCTCCTGTGCTCTGCCTTGGGCTGTTTCCACGCGGTCTCGGTGTGCCGGGGTGGGAGTGACATCCACCGATCAGCACAGAAGCCTCCCTGAGCTGAGCTTTGCACTCCTGCCATCCTTTCCTGGTAGAAACTTCCACCCTTTCCTGTAGTGCTTGGGAGTGACCCCGGTTGCGAGTGGGTCTCCATTTAGGATTGGGGTGCGGAGCGGGCATCCCTCATACTCAGGAGCCCGCCTGATGCTGTGTAATCTATCAGAATTGTATTAATCCCGCTAACGCAGCCACCATCTGGCTCTGCTGCCGGGCCAGCTCTCGCAAGCCCCTGTGATGGATGGCCTCGGGAATTGATTAGTTGTTGTGCGAGACAAATGAACTGTTTTGGCAGAAAATACCAGAGGTCGCTGCGTGTGGTCAGGCACAAAGGCTGCTGAATTTTAAAGAGCTGCTTCTAGCATCTATTGCAAGGATGCCGCTTCAGTGCAGCGACGGCTTTTGAGACGAGCCCAGCACTCTGGACCACGGTTGGGGTTTTGTTCTTTCCCTCCAGCCCTGCTTTTGGGAATGCCAGCGCAGGAAATGAGCGCAAAACTGCAGAAGCGCAGGAGCCGGCATCCTGGCCGCGTTGGGAATTACAGGCTCATGCCGGTATTGTGCGTGCGTTTGGGTGGCTGTGCTGCAGATGTCTGTTGCTCACATAAACGCTGGGCTGTGCAATCCCTGCGGAAGAGCTTTCCCGGTTGCGTGGAGCCCCAGTGGCCCGTGGCATGCTCAGCTGTGGCGTGTCTCAAACCAAACACCTGCGGGGCCAGGCAGCTGGGGTTTGGGTTGGTTTTTTTCCAGGTCAGTGTTATTTAGAAATAGATGCTCTTCTGGTGATGTTTAGTGGGCCAGTCTCTGACTTCGAGATGATTGCCAAGTTTATTGCTTTCCCCTCTTTTTATTGTCCCCGGAGCTGTGACCCTTGGGGTTTTGCTTTGTTGTGCAAAGGGGCAGCTTGGCTCGTGCCTGCCTTCCCTTCGGGAGAGTGCATCCGTCAGTGGTGGCTCCT